TGAGGTAATGTGCAAGGTTTGTGCGCTCTTTCTTTCATCTTCCTCTACAGTTTTATTAAGCTTCCCCAGCTGCACAACCTGTGATCACCACCAGCGGATGAACACACAACACCCTGCTTGTCACTAATGCCTGTTTGATCTGAATCTTTGAGCGCAGGAGATAATGGATCTTTGGGAAACACCTGCACCTGAGGTCCTGTAGGAGACAGACCTTAGGTGGCGTCTTTGCATCCCCTATCCTTAAAGGTAAACCTCTAGTTCCGATTACCCTTTCTTGGTCTGAGATTTCCATCGACACCCAGGCACTAATCAGTTCTGGGACTGCAGGCTTGTTCATAGATAGTGCCATGTGTTGAAGCACTCGATGCTGCAACCTTGTGCCTCTCCACTTGCTACTGAGGCTATTGATGGGAGACCTCTACAGCCTGCCCGTGTGACCCATGTAACCGCTGTAACCATTGACCATGGTTGTAGAGGTTCTTCACCATGAGATAATCCAATTCCATATCATTTCCTCACCTAATTACTCAGTTGTCATTGGTTATCCTTGGTTACAGAAGCACAATTCTTTATTTGATTGGCATAGAGCCGAGCTTCTGTCATGGTTACCACAATGCACTAATACTTGTTTTCAGAAAGTGAGTAGGGTTTTGTGCATGTCTTCAGTCTCTTCTTTGCCAGAGAAGTACCAGGAATTCTCTGAAGTCTTTGACAAAGGTCAGGCTGGTATTTTGCCGCTTTTGATGCAGCCCCAGTGCTGGCACATCTTGATCCTTCATTACCCTTCATTCTTGAAGTTGATGCATCTGAGACTGGACTAGGTGCTCTCCTGTGTCAACGTCCTACCCCTGTGGACCCTATGCATCCTTGTGACTATTTTTCTAAACAATTTTCTCCAGCAGAATGGAGTTATGAAATTGGGGACAGAGAATTATTAGCCATCATTTTAGCTCATTAAGAATGGACTCATCTCCTCGAGGGTATACTGTGCCAGTCCTCATTTTGACTGACCATAAGAATCTCACATTCTTGTCTGAGGCTAAATGCTTATCTCCTAGAATGGCTCGTGGGTCCTTTTTCTGTCACGCTTCAATTACATAGTCTCACTCTTCCCTGGTACGAAGAATATATGTGCAGATGCATTATCGCTGCAGTGCAGTTTTCCTTCCCCTTTCAAAATGGAGTCAGTTCCTACTCCTGTGGTACCGCTGGACCGCATTTTGGCCACTATTTGTACTAGTCTCACTTCACCTTTTGGTGAGAGAATTATGGCTTTTCAAATGCATTCTTCTCCTGGAAAACCTCATGACTGCTGCTTCGTCCCTGAGAATCTCCACACTGCTTTGCTCCAGACCTACCATTCTTCCAAAGCAGCTGGACACCCAGGAAAAAATATGGTCTATGTCTCAACTGTTCTGGTGGCCTAGTCTCCATGCTGATGTAACTGCCTTTGTAGCTGCTTGTCCTGTGTGTGCTCAGAATAAAAGAATCCGATACCTTCCAGTAGGCCTTCTACTACCCATACCCTGTGTCCAGTTTTTGGCAAGCCTTTTGTGCACAGTTGGGAATTCAGCTTTCCTTCTCCTTGGCATATCACTGGGGCCACGAACGAGCCAACCAAGCCTTGGAACAGTTCCTACATTACTATATTTCAGACCACTGTAACAACTGGTTGGACCTTTTACCTTGTGTGTGCCATCAATGCGACCTCCTGATTATCTCTGTATATTGTGAACTATGGGTTCCAGCCATCCATGTTACCTGATACATTCGTTCTGTAGGGAATTCCTGCATTACAGGAACTTATTTGAGTACTCCGCTTCCACTTGGGTGCAGATCCAAGAATATTTGCAATGCTCCAGAGAGAGGTAAAAACTCCATGCTGACCACCGACGCCTACCTGCACCCTCTTACCATGTTGGGGAGAGGGTCTGGCTGTCTTCCCGTAACCTCCAACTCTGTGTTTTCCTCACTAAAACTGGTGCCTCGGTATATTGGTCCTTTCCACATAATCCATAGGGTTAACCCAAAGGCATACACATTAAATATTCCTTCCAACATGCGTATTTCCAACGTATTCCATGTTTCCTTATTAAAACCTTTTGGTGTGTGACCGCAATACCACCTCGGTACCATGCCCTCGCCCAGTTTAGGGCGAGGAGGAGGGGTTATTAGGAGGGGTACTGTGATGGCTAGGCTTCTGCTACTTAATGCATGTCTTTTCTTTCAGTGCTCAGAAGCTGCTCAGCTGTCAGTTAATTACCAGCCACTCGTCTACACAGTGACTCACCTGGATACCATTACCTGCCTCATTAGTCCAGCCTACAGCCAGCCCTTTTTGCTATTTTAGCAGCTTAGATAATTTCCTCCTTGCTCTTGCATGGTCTTTGATCTCCAGTGTGTTCCTGCTTGTGTTCCTGTGTACAACTGCTGACTTCTCTTCCGATTCCTGTGCCTGATTTTTGGCTCCTAACTAGGCTAACTTTTGGTTTCCTGACCCTGGCTTGTCTGATTACCCGCTCTGGCATCCAAACCCTGGCTTCTGTTTTGACTATGTTCTTGAACTGTGTTATTTTTGCTATTTCAGTAAGTTGTGTGACTTTAACTGCACTTTCTGTCTCCACCTGGTTCATGGTTCCTGACAGGCTAATAGAGATCAATGTTTTTACCATAATCAATGGGGTACATTTACTAAGGCTGGAGCATGCATAATCTGGTGCAGCTCTGCACAGAAACCAATCAGCTTCCAGGTTTTATTGTCAAAGCTTAATTAAACAAGCTGAAGTTAGAAGCTGATTGGCGACTATGAACAGGTGCACCAGATTGAGTGCTCCAAGTTTAGTAAATCTCCCCCAATGTTCCCAGTTTAAACTGTTAAGGTCTGAGGGTCACACATCATATACCAAAGGGCCACAGGCTGCAGGTTGGGCTCCAGGAGTTTAAAGGCTAGTTGGGTGTAAGCTGGAATTCCACTTTAAGTTTTGTAAATGTGAAATGTTGTATATTAATAATTAACATTCTCCTTTGTAGCAGGTGGAACCAGGGGCGGACTGACCATTTGGAAACTCGGGCACTGCCTGAGGGCCCGGGGTCAGTAGGGGGCCCCATGAGATGTCCCTGGTACCTTTTTCATAGGCTTTTTTGAGTTTGGGCAAGGACACAGGGGCCCCATGATCCCCTATTGCCCGGGGCCCCATGAGTTGTCAGTCCGCCCCTGGGTGGAACATTATGCTATTTTATATTTTCTAATTTCTCTTCGAAAAAAAAATGCTTGATGTTTACAAAGCTTAATAGCTAAAGCTGAAATGTACACCCAAAGGGAATGGGAGAGCAGGGACTCGTCCCCCTCACTCTCCTGTCTCTGTCTTTTTTTTTAGAAAATGCATAGTATGCTGGAAATCCTTTTTAGCAATACTAAAATGTATTACAAGAAGAGGAGCACCCCCATGAATTGAAATTAGGATCCCGAGGGCATTGGATATGTACAGTTCGATTTGTCACCATGTTATGATATACACTGCATTGTTGCTTTTTTCCTTGTACTGTGTACTGACACTGTGATCCTATGTCCTAAAAAGTGTAAAACCCAAATAAACTTTATTCTTTTAAAAATGTATTACAAGATGGGGAGGATTGAGGAATGAATTAGACAGTGAACAGCTAGTAATGTAATACTAAAAATATTACTATTCAAATCTCAACTGCAGGTTCAGCCACCTATCACCTATGGCTGATGAATGATTGATATTACTGTTAGTTTAAACATTCCTTTACACATAATTTGCTCGGCAAGTTTCATTTCTTCTGTTTACTTCTCCATAGCGCAGTGACGTGTCTGTCATAGCTGATAAAACATGTTCTGGCAGGGGAGTGTGAACTTTGTAAATTAACTCAACTCAGCATGCAGCTACTCTACATTGGCTTCCTTGTTTTACCAGTGCCACTCACTGGAACTTGAGAACGTGGATGGGGATTACCAGTGTACCAAGCAGCTTTCTTTTATCTCTGTAGATACCATTGTCATCAAATTTACACCTGAATGTCGTGTTTTTGCAATCAGATAGAGCCCGCCTCATTTCCTGGCTGCATAATGTTCAGCATCATCTAGCCCTTTCCTCCCAAGCCTTACTGTCCCTTGTCATTGAAGTTCAGTTTTTTTAATCATGAGGGCTCTGCATCACATGTGGGCATTACCTAGGGCACTCTGCATGCAAATGCACACTGCCTAAGAACACTAACTCCTCCAGCCTGACACCTGTGGATGAAGGCGATTTGATATACGCAACAGGGCTGAGGACTCTTCAAAGACTACTGATGCAGCGTACTGTGATGTTATTAAGAAGCTATATTCAGCACACTGCTGGACCCTCCCACCAGCCATAATCTGCTTGAGTTTCATAGAGACGCACAGTAATAATAGACATGTTATACATGCGACAGTTTGCAACAGTTGACTGTTATCATTGGCCAAAGTCACATCCAAGTCTCACGCATCCAAAGTTACATCAAAGTTGCCCTCCAAAGTCGCACTAGTGTGAATGGAGCCTTAGAAACATTTGAAGCCAGCAGCTGGCATAACAGCCAGGGATTAGCATTTGCAAAAGGTCAGCAATGGCAACCCACATATTTCCCTCAGAAAAGTTTTTCTTTAATGGCCTTTATACAAAACCAGGCCTGAAAATAATTAGTTTATTTGCTTCCTTTTTGCTTAATTGTACTATTTGTAAAAAACTGACCAGGATTTGTATGTGGATAGTATGTTCATAAACTGTATTTACCAGATATTATTATTATTATACAGGATATATATAGTGCCAACAGTTTGCTCAGCACTTTATAAAATAAAGGGAGACAATACAGTTGAATACAAGAGGGTTAGGAGGGCCCTGCTCCTTGGAGCTTACAATCTAAGAGGAGTATTGAGTCAGTCCTCATTTTTGAAGACAGTTTTGGTGTATTATCAGTCTGCTGTAGTTTACTATGGTTATACAATTTATATTTATATCTAGCTGTGCCTGTGTGATATGACGGACCATGAACGCAGTGTGGCTCATGGAGAACTTGTGGGGGTTCATCTTTTAATGGAGGACATACTTCAAGGCAAATACAACTTTGTTTCCTTTACCATTGAAGGGAATCTGGATGACAAAAAGGTGAGCTGGATTAAACACATTATTATTATTATTATTATCCCATAGATAGATGATCTGGGGTTATTAGGGCTTTTAGCTGTGAAACAACATAATTAAAGCTCTGTGAGCACATTAGCAGAAATAACTCTGTCCTAGATCTTCACATGCATCCATCTTTTTACTGATTTTCCATAAGCTATTTACAGAATGTCAGGAATACTGACCACACATCATGTTACTGTGTAGTCCTATGGACAGCATATGGGTGCTTCTGACCTTCATGGTGCTGCTCCTACATATGCCTCACACATGTGAGAAAAGTGTCCCCCCCAGTCCACGTCACCAGAACTAATACATTTGTACTTATTACTATTCAAATGTCCAATTACTACATAACTACTTAACATAACATCCCTTTTGCAATCTTATGCCAATCATCTATTCTACAGCCACTGATCAGTGTATTCTGACAGCAAAGGACTCCCACTTTCAGAAGACAATTGCGCAGCAGCAAGGATTCCTCCATCCACCTCTCTTGTGTGGATGGGAGATTTTTTTTTTTTTTTAAATTAGCCCTCTGGCCGATCGAAAGAAAAGAAGCAACTACAGCCAGCCTTATGCCCCGTACACACTAAAAGAAAATCGGGCAAACGATTGGACGATTTTACTCAATTGTTCGCAGCTGGTCAAAAGCAAAGTGCTTTTCTGCATGAGAAAAATATTGTACGATAAAGGCATTGCGTACAAATATCGTAGCGTAGCAGGGGAAGTGATGTCATGTACGTGTGACCCTGTAGCCACACATTTCATAATTGTTATCTCTCCATCGATGGATCTTTTGTGACGAATTGTTAGAATAGTTATGGATACCATTTCTGAATGTTAATATTAAAATTCATTGTTGAAAATATATAATTTTTATTTGTGTTTTTTTTTTTTTTACAACAACATGCAAACACACACATTCATTGTGATGCAGTGGCATATGTAATTTTTGTTTTTTGGGGGTGGGTTGAAGACAACTGTTTACTGATATTAATGACTATAATGCTTACGATTATTCAGTGGTGTTTATTTTCTTCAGATTCTTCCGGGTCATAAGCAACTTCTGATTATGCATGGTCTTTTGTATCGAATTCTTCTCGTACGGAAACAGTACACATTAACCGAACATCATTCGTTCTGTTCCCGTATGACAAAAATTTAGCTATGGGCCCCTTTCATTAATTTTCATTCGGAAGGTCTGAATCGGCTGTCGAAAATAATGTACACACCATCAGAAAATTGCACGATTGTTCGTCGTATGAATATGTTCGCCCGATTTTCTTGTAGGTGTACAGGGCATTATGTGATAAACCCACATTTGTTAGTTAATAAGAAAAGAAGACTTTGGCTGAGTGCCAAGGACATGATCGAAAGGTCAAGTCTTTACACTCCACTATGCACAGTTTATCTGTAAGTCAAGTGTCATGCTATAGATCATGTTGTGGATGATGGTGTACAACATCAAATCTATTATAGGACATGCTTGCTGTTAGAGGCCTGAACTACATATACATTCTTCTTGTTGCAATTGATCTGCCAAATGTTGGTGCTATAGAGATAAATTGTTCATCCATCAGAAAGCCCCAGACATCCTGGTCTGCTGGGCCCTGTAGCAGTTCTAGGACCTGCTGTAGGCTTTTCAGGTTTGTTTTTCACAATATTTTTAGCCCCGGTTCATACTGGGGAGACTTGTCATGCAATTTGACAGTTCCAAATCCCATGGCAAGTCACACCACATTACTGGCAATGGAGCTGTTCATATCACCGCGACTCATGTCACAGGGATTATAAAAAAAGGTTCCCGTACTACTTTTTCCTGATTTCATTACGAATTGCATAGACTTCTGTAATATGAAGTCGCATGCCACAATGAAATCGGCAGTGCAAATCGCACTGATGTGTGGCTTTGAAAATGCACTGAAGTAGTGCGATTTTAAAGCCGCATCAGTGTGAACCAAGGCTTATGCAGGCCATAGACGGGTTGTTTATCGACCAAATTTTTGTCCGAAAGAATAATCGGTCGTTATTCGCACTGTTAGTGGGCAATGTCGTCGGCCGATTTTCGCGGTTCCTTCTCATTTCTTTTATCGGTCATGCTGGAAAATCTATGAAAAACTGACGATTTTCGTAAGCATTAGTGGCAACTGAACAACCGATTTTTTGTTTTTTTTCGGCCGACAATTCGGCCGATAAACAGCCCATCTATGGCCTGCATTACTGTGTACTTGTTTTGCATTAAATTCACTGTTATATAATATAACCTTTGTTTATTGCTCATTGTCACTTAACAAAGAATAAAAATAAGATATAGCCAAATGTTATCTAGGGACCATTCACTCCAAGTGCTTAGAGCAGTCCTGCCACAAGACAAGGCAGAATGCCTTGTCTCCTATCAGGCCAGTTCACACCACTGCATTGTGGTAGTGAGCATTAAAAAGTACAGTATGTAGTGCTTTTTTAAGAGCAGCATAATGCAGGCCACTGCCTTGCACCACACTGTAGCCAAAAAAACTTAAGAAAAAGTCACTTTGTGACACTTTATTTAAGTTTGCTTAAAAAACAGTAAACCATGCAATGCATTGCAGTTGGCACATCCTATTGCATGCCAGCAGCTGTATTATAACTGGGTCTAAAGTGTGCTGTGCATATCTTCCTATTATATAATGTATATTACCTTTCTTAACTAGTACTATATTACCATTGTTAGCATGCACATTGCATTTGGTCACACAGAAGACTTTTACACCAAATTATATTGTTCACATTTTGATCTATTTCTAGATGCTGACTGACAGTCCACCTGCAGGCAAAGAACAGCCAGTGTCAAGAAGCTCCCAAATGGATCAATCAAACCAAGATCCAATTTCAGAATACAGACAGTTGAGGTCCTTTCTAATATTGTGGAAACAGTTGGAAGTATTTAAAGAAAGATGGGCAAAGAGGAAACTTAGAGCTGAGGAAATCAACACTGTCCGTCTCTATAGACAGTTTTGTGAAATGTACAGGTAATCTGATTGGTTAAGTACACACTTAAAATTTGTTTTCATAGCACTTGATTTTCTCTCGTGCTGCACAAGTTCCCCAGATTTCTCTTTAAATGCAGCCAGACAAATTACATTTTTACATTTCTGAATGCTCACACATTCATTTAGACCAGCATATAAACTGAGTTCATTATCACCGTCTGATCTTTTATTTTGCATGTCCTATTATTCTTTGAATTGGTAATCAACTAAAGGCAGCATCTGTCATCAATTTTCAGTTGTTTATCTTTATAATATTTAAAGCTGAACTCCTGGCACAACAACTTTCATAAAAATATATTCCTCAATGGCCACAACAGATAAAAATCCACTTTATAACAAAATGCCTTTACAAACCCAGATATAACTTTATAAAACTGCAGTGACTTCATCACTTTACTGTACATAGCCTGTACAGACAGCAGAGCTGTAGGAGGGATCCAGAAGGTCCCACCCACTACAGGCTGCCTGCAGAAAACAACAGGGGAGGCAGAGACCAGACCTGTCACCCTGCACAAGGAGAGGGAACAGCAGTGACTAGTCTTTATTACAGGAAGCTCCTGCACAGAGGCAAAGTTTTATGCGGGATTACTGCACAGATCTGGAAGATATACACAAAGCACATCAAGGTTCAATTAAGGCCCCTTTCACACAGGTGGGCTGATCGGGTCCAGCTGTCAGTTTTTTAGGCGGACCCGACTGGACCTTTCTTTGTCCTCTATGGAGCAATGGGTGTAAATGGACGTGTCCATTTACACCCGCTAACATCCGATCTGATCCTATCTGCTAAAAACAGACGGATGGGGATCCACTAACCATCCATTTAGCGGACTGATTCTGTGTCCGCTCTGCACAAATGGAGCGGACACGGACCTGTCATCCGCCTGCTCAGCAGGGATTAGCAGACAGATCTCAGATGAGCAGGCAGATCCGCTTGTAGGAGTCCACCCATGTGAGAGGGGCCTAAGAATACATGCATCTTTTATTCAGACAGTATTTGCTTATCCTGGAGTTCAGCTTTAAAATGACACAAACCGATATCCTTATTCTCCAAAAATAATCCATACACATACACTACTTAATAGCCCTGTAATCTATTTTTAATGAAATCATTTTACTGTGTTTTTCTGCTTGCTTGTAACATCATCCACAGACTCCCACACCTCTCCTTTTTCACTTAACTTCCTTTTGCTTGGAATGAGCAGTGCACGTTAGTTCTCTATGCACGCTACAAATCCCTTAGCCCATAGTCCCTGGCCCATCTTGGGAGTGAGCAACTGAGGACGGCTACATTCCTACATACAGTACAGTTGGACCATGGAAAACAAATGTAGCCACCTTCTAACAAGAAGTCAGATCACAGTAGCAAAAAAAAAAAAAGGCATTTGGAGATTGTAAAAGGATGAGAGCAATAGAAGGTACTTTTTTGAATGAAGAATACATACAGGAACATATTTTATTTAAAAACTAGAGTTTAGTGTCACTTTAAAGGGTAACTCCACTTTTGTGATGAAAAAATAGCAAATAAAAAAAATGATAATATAGCATATACAATTGCTACACAAGTCATATTGTAATTCGATGTTATTAAACATTATTTTTCCTTTTTAATCTGCAGCGCAATGCAATGCAAATATACATCTGTTTTATATATGAATAAAGGTAGCACTGAAGAAATGCGCTAGGCTGGTGCGCCCTCTGTTTCTTGTGTATTGCAGTTATCTTTCTGGGTTTCCCCAACCTTTGGAGAGCAGCAAAGCTGACGACATGATTGGAATACCACAGGCATCCGCTAAGTCGTCTGCTTACTTGTGCCAATACACTTCTCTTGAGAGCAGGAGGTCTCATTTGGTGTACAGAACACCAGAACACCCCCAGAAATGTCATTTTCTGCTTGTGTGATTGGCTTACTGATTTTCCCAGAAGCCTGCACTAAGATACAAGTCAGATTTTGAGCATTCCCTGCAACAAACATGTCATTTTTGGTGAGATACTCCCAAAGGGAAATCACATCTAAAGGGATGCAGACCCTGCAGTTTTTCTCATTAGAGCCCTGACTGTGCAGCAGCTGATTGATAATTATAAAACTATTCCTATTCATATTCACTTTGCGCATGGACACAAACAAACAAAATAGCTGTTTTTTCAGAATGACAAAAGGTAGGAATCTGCAACAAAGTTTGTTAAAATATTTGAAATGTACACTGACAACAAAAGTTTATTTTTTTCTCAACAAAAGTGGAGTTACTCTTTAATGTGTGCTTCTTATAAATGTTAGGGCTTTAAACTTAAAGTACAACAGCACACCTAGGCAGGGCTAAGTGCTGCGATGAAGCCGGATCACAATCAATTAGACATCAAAAGCCTTACCTACTGTAATTTATCATACTGTATCATTTATAACAGTGTTTGATAAGGCTGGATACATTTCAGTAGTGATAAAATCAATGCACTCCAGCAAATTACAGCTTAGGCCCATTTTTAAGGGTTTTTTTTTTGTTGCCAAGGAAATTAATTTTCAGGTCCCTAAAAACTTCCCGCTGGCTTCTAAATCAGACTAACTGGCTTTTGAACTCTGTACCTATTGTGTATGGACAGAAATAGTCTTTGCAGACTTACACTATTATTATAGTAATCTAACATTTGAAAGAGTTCTGCCTTGCTTTTAACTAACAAGAACAGAAATGCAGGCTATGAATATTGATACTGTATGTCCATGATTGTAGATAATTGAAATAACATTTTGTAAGGATGGGTTTCTTTTGTAGGGATGACGTTTTTTATCCTACCATGAAAGCAATTGCTCGACAAATGGGAAAGGAGGGGGAGTATGAAGGGCTGACACTGAGATCCCAGGTGGTGCTTCCTCCTAAAGGGGCATCTGAGATTGACATTCGAGTTCAGCAGGTGAGAATTTATCTGATTAAGCTTTGTACCTAATTTTTAGGGGTTTTTTTTTTTTTCTGTTTTTTAGAGAAAAAAAAGTGCTAATATAACTGAATCGAAGACACTTTCTGAGTGTCACAAGCAATCTAAGCCTTTTTATATGCTTCCTGTATTTAGACATACAAGACCACATAGCAATGATTGAGCCTTTTGCAGCTCTGAGAAACTACATTCAGGAAGTCTGTGGTTACAATACTGTAGTATTAGGTAATATCTCACCATTTAGATCTTCAGCATTCAATTTTGTAACTGAGAATTAATGAACTCACTTATTGTTTTGTATACCTTTTAGTGTTCATGTACACTGCAGCTGATAAAGTCACGTTCAGGAGCTTTTCTGCATTTTTTTCAGCATGTTTTCCTATGTGTCCATGTACACAGAGTCATTTACAGGCAGTTGAGTTTACAGTTGTTTCTTTAAACGCACCAAACTTGCATTCAGGAGTAGATTCAAACGCCAAATGCTTGTAAACAGTTGTAAACACGGTTAACCGCGTTTAGAAGCGTTTGCGTTTAGAAGCGTTTTTTGACTGGTCCATATCCAGGGCACAATTCACTAAACGGTATCCTACTGCATCCGAGTATGCGGTAAGATACCGCATAGCATTTTAAAAAAAAACATTTGAATCCACTAAAAAAGGCTACTAAAATATGATCATGATTTTATCAAGTTATGTGGAATTTTAGTAGTGAAAAGCATGCATCATGTTTCAGCTGTCAGTGGGATTCTCACTGATAGGTGAATATAAAAGAAAGAATTGCCGGCAATTAAAAAATAATTTTAAAAAACCGCCGTGGGTACCCCCTCCCATTCATACCAAGCCCTTCTGGTCTAGTATGAATTTTGAGGGGAAGCCCCACGCCAAAAAAAAAAAAAATGGCGTGGGGTTCCCCCCCCCAAAATCCATACCAGACCCTTATCCGAGCATGCAGCCCGGCAGGTCAGGAGAGGGGGGGAGGCGAGTGAATGCGAGTGCCCCCCCCCCCGAACCATACCAGGCCACATGCCCTCAACATAGGGCGGTGCTTTGGGGTAGGGGGAGCACTCCCCCAAAGCACCTTGTCCACATGTTGATGGGAACAAGGGCCTCTTCCCCACAACCCTGGGCTGTGGTTGCCCAGCACGTGAATGAGTATGGGGAACATGGTACCGCTACCCATTCACAAAAAAAAAAAGCTGTGGGCAGCACAGTGGCTAAATGGTTAGCATTTCCGCCTGGCAATACTAGGGTCATTGGTTCAAATGTCAAATGCCACCTGCCTGGAGTTTGAATGTTCTCCCTGTGCCTGAGTGGGTTTCCTCCAGGTACTCCGGTTTCCTTCCACACTCCAAAGACATGCTGGTAGAGGTTAATTGGATCCTGTCTAATATGCCCTAGTATGTGTATGTATGAATGTAAGTTAGGGACCTTAGATTGTACGCCCCTTGAGGGTTAGGGACTGATGTGAATGTACAGAATATATGTGTAAAGCGCTGCGTAAGTACCTGAAATAAATAAATCAATAGTGTGAAAAAAGACAGGAGTCATTCTTTGACAAGTCCTTTAATAAAAGAATGTCCCCCGAAGTAGATCCAATGTCAATCACGTCAATTTTTTAAATATATTCTTCAGATTTTTTTTAACATATAAAAAAGTCATTTTAACATATATTTTTACATATATTTGTAAATGCATTCCAAAAATGTAGATTTGTATTTTTAAATACATACAGTATATTTGAAATTTATTTTTAAAAATATTTTTCATAAATTTTGTACTAAAAACACATTTCAATATATATATAATTATATATATATATTAAAATATATTTTGAAATATATTGAGTATGGCCAAAATTGTAGTATTTCAAATATATGGCAATATATTTGGGAAGAATATTTTTAATATATATTTCAAATATATTTTTCTTCCATATGGGTGAAAACTGATGTAAACTGATGTCTCTGTAAGTGAAATCAGTGTGTCAGCTTCTATCAGTGTTTCTGCACGTATGGTGTGAACAAGCCCTTAAGGTTGTCTTTCCTTAAATAAGATATTACATCTTTTTGATATAGAGAACACTTGTCTGCAAATAGATCTGTATGTTAAATTCATAAACTTCTCACTGCCGCACTGAAAACACTTACTTTCTAACATTCTGGACATCTGTATTGTGACAGTGGAGTTGATTTACTAAAGACAAATAAGCTGTTCACTCTACAAAGGAAGTTGCACTTTGCAAATCATACCCAAGCACGTGCATGGAAAATAAAAAAAAAAAAACTGTATCTTTGCTTTCAAGTGATTGGTTAATAGACGTCATTAGAGCTTCACCTCATTTACCAAGCTATGGGGAAGTTTCCCTTGCAAAGTGCAACTTCCCTTGGAAAAAGAAAATTCTATTTGTCTTTAGTAAATCAATTCTAATGTTTGGATTCTTTATTTTCAGTTTTCAGAGTCAGAGAATACGATCAATGTACAGAAACTTAATTTATGTCAGAATTCTTACACAATGAAAACATTCAGTCAAATAAAGATTTATGTCCATTTAGTTGAAGTCATTGATATAGAACCACCGGAGTCTGCCTGGAGACTGACTCTGTCAGGGCTAAGTTTCTCTAGTGTTCTTAAGCAGTCTTTTTCTACCACTTCAATAGGTAAATAAAGAGTGCAATGTGTGAATGGCTGTGTTTGGATTTTTAAGGCTTGTGCTGTTCCCAGAGGCTTACCCTCTGTTCTACTTCATCCTCTTGGTCTATGACATTTTATTATTTCTTTGACTTCCTTGGGGATTTCAGGCCTTCTTCAATCACATCAAAGAAAGCTGTTTCCTTACGTTTGCCTTAGCCAGACTTTTTACAATTTTAAATAATAAAATAATACTCAAGGGTAAAATAAAATCAGCCATTGCCTTTGTTATCATGTTCTGTGCTTCTCTGAAACTATATTCATTCAGTTGCTACGGACCAGAATTCCCTGATAGGGATGGGCGATTTGGGAAAATTGGCAATTCATCCCTTTTTTACATTAATTTTTGCCAACATTGGCCTGCGGATTAATCATGTAGATATGTTTAGTCCGTGGGGGAACTCTATGATTCTTTGTACATTGGACAAACTTGCCTGTTTATATATAGAAGGACCAAAAAAATTGCAATTTGCAGATTTGCCAGTATGCCTATTTTTTTTAAACTGATTAGCTGACTTCAGGGCTAAGACCCTCTGGGGTTTATTTACTAAATCTGGGGAGTGCAAAATCAGGCTCACTTCTGCATAGAAACCAATCAGCTTTCAGGTTTTATTGCCAAAGATTAACTGAACATGCTGAGGTTAGAAGCTGATTGATTCCTATGCAGAAGTGAGCATGATTTTGCATTCTCCAGCTTTAGTAAATAACCCCCTGTGTTTTTTTTCTCAGCTATCCCTTGTTTGCTGCCCTTTCTGAATTTAGAGTTCACTTCAGAGTCCAAGAAACAAATGAGCTGATGGCAAAAAACAAGCTAATAAGATAGGTTAATAGTTATGAACTGTAAAACATGCGTCATAAAATGTTGCTCAGTCTTTGATTTAAGTATATAATTATATCATAATGCCTGTAGAAAAAACTGACTAAGCAATAGAAACATTTTTAAGTGGAAATACATTTTTTATGGTAATAGTTACAGGGTATGTTATTTTGTGTATGTGCAATGCTGGTTTCAAAGCAACGTGATCTATGCTTACACCCTTTGGCATGCCTCATAGAAATTATGTAAATTTTAACATAAAAAACAAAAACCTTACTACACTTTAGAACAAATTATCATATTGCTAAAGCCCAGCTCTGGGCTTGGGTGCCCTCCATTTGCTTATAATTTACACGGAATTGTGTTGAATGACAATGACCATCATTAAGCCTGGAAGAGTAGTGGCACTAAAACCCTGAGCAGGTGAAATAGCAGAAAGCAATAGACATAAGGTAAGCATAGTAGCCGGAGCTACGTATTTATTTTCATCTAATGCAGGGAGGTCCAGCACTAATCTTTTTGTCCATGCTAGAGTTGGGTTTTAATTCAGAGAATCATTTTTTTTTAAAAAGACCCTGTACTTTCTAATTTAAAATATTATAACTGCCAACAGCTGTGTTACATGTTAATCGAAGATCTTTTTTCCAGCTTCAGAAAATATTGGAAAGTTTTGAAAGCGATATGATCCTTGATGTACAGAAAAAGATTGCAAAAGAGATGACATTAGTGGTATCTGAAAGAACAAGAGAAGGGAGAGGGCTTCCAACAGGTGACAACTGTGAAACTGCTAAAATAACTTTTCTTCAGGGTTTACTTAGGATGGAACAACATGTGTGATGTCATAATAGCTGGAGTGTGATTAGAAGCTATGATATTTGTCACTTTTCTTTTAATTAACCTTTTAATAAATCCACCCTATTGCTGGACAACTTTACTAATCGAATCAATATGTAATACATTATAGGCTAACCATTGTATGCATCAATTTTGTGTGCGTAAAATGGAAGTGGTGTAAAATTAGATATTTAAATCTTATATTTTAGGGATTATTAGTGATATACTGGCTTACAGAGTCATCTAAAATAAATTAAAAATCTGGACAGTATTGCCAATTCAAAGAATATATTGACATTGACATGTTTGATGTGCCTAGATATAAATGTGAAGTTTCCCTTAGCAGGAACTGGTTACAACATTAGGAACTGTAGTTTATAGACTATAGTTCTGTAGATACTGTCTGTAGAACAGTTTCCTAATAGCACAAGCAGACCAACCTGAAATAGAAAGATCTTTGTATAGAGTTCCCAGGAACAGTAAACTCCCTAGCACAGCCCCTTCCCTCCTTGCACCTCATAGCCCTCTACTCTTCTGAGAGTGTCTAATTTCTCTCTGTGCTG